CTGCCTCAGCCTCCCGAGTAGTTGGGATTACAGGCATGTACCACCATGCCTACTAATGTGTTTTTAGTAGAGACGGGGTTTCTCCATGTTGGTCAGGCTGGTCTCGAACTCCCGACCTCAGGTGATCCGCCCGCTTTGGCCTCCCAAAGTGCTGGGATTACAGGCGTGAGCCACCTCACCCAGCCTACATTTTAATTTTTAATTGACAAATAATAAGTATTTATGGGATACAATGTGATGTTTTGATATATGTATACCATATCTTTCATCTTTAAATGTTTTAAAATTAGCTGTACTTTAGTTTCCTTTTAAAGCAGACCCTGAGACCAGAGTTTGGGTGCGTGTTGTTTCTTTGAGAGGTGCTCCTAGGAGCATGCTGTGGTGTGCAGAGCTCCCAAGAGAGAAGAAGCAGTAAAGGATGTGTGAGCAAGCAGAATCCCACTCTGGGCAACTGGAGCTCCAACGCACAGGCCAGTCTCTGGGAGACTCTGCAGGACATACTTCCAAATTGGGCCACTCAGGGTGGAGGAAGTGGGTGTGTTTATCCACCAACTCCTGCCCCTAATTGGTGATAACTTCTGGGGGATGTTAATTCTGCATACAGCAGGCCTGACCAGCACGAGAACTAGAAAATGCCCTCGAGCAGGAAAACACAGGCACCTGAGGTAGGAAGGCTTTTGTGTATAAAGAACTGTCCACTTCTGCTGCTGTCCACTCGAGCTGAGGAGGTACCTGTGGGCAACTGTAGTAGGTGCTATTCTTGTAACAGGGCAAGGATAGCATCTACTATAGGCACTTACATTTAAAAACCAGTAGATTTCTCATAACAATCTATAGGGATCATAAAAATACCAGAAAATCTGGGCTTGTATTCCCACATGGGATGGCAAGCTGCTGCCCCCTTCAAGGCATATGCTCCCTGGTGTGCCACACTCCCCACCACTCTCTAATGTCTCTTGCCTGAGGCCAACAGTCAGGTTTTTTTTTGTTTAATTTACTTTTTAAAACCCAACCCTTCCTCTGTGTTATCTGCCTGGCCCCTCCCTGAAGGAGCCTGAGTGTGTCACCTTTTAAGGAGGAGACATGCTGACGTTGCATGTAGGCCAAGTCGCCTCGGAGACAGCGTTTGATTTCCTGGGACCAGATCTTTAAATATGAAGCTGTAACAGGAACCTGGAGGCCTCTCTTGACAGCCTGCCCAACTCTCATTATGACATTTAGCCTGTGATTGATATTGTGTATGTCATTGAGACCTTGGCAGTTAATCTCTGGGTCGAATCTATGGAAACCAAACAGAACAGATTTGTCTTCCCTTCCATGTTGGCTGTGATCTGGGAAACAGATGCTCCTGGCCTCTCTGAGAATTAGAGAGTTGGGAGCCATGCAGAGAGGGCGCACACAGGCCGCCTTTGGGATTTGGAAAGATTACAGGTCTATGGTTTCTGGACGGCTCCACACTTTGTTCTCTTTCTCCATCAAATCTGCGCGCTGGAGGATAATAGATCCCAGGGCTCCCTCTGCATGCCAAGCTCCTCAGGGCAGACCGCACCACTTCCTCTTCTGTCTGGAAATCCAGCCGAGGCTTTTAGCACAGAGATGGAGACGGGGATGGTTCCCTCCATAGTGTAAGGAAGAAGAACGGCCTCACCAATGGTGAAGTCAGCTTCAGTGATCGAAAAAGGCAGATGGAGGCTTCAGAATGGAATTGACTCCAGCATCTTGCAAAAATCAAGTCTTCTGAAGCTTCCATTAACAGCAGGCAGTGTTCAAGAGGGCCTGAACCATCACCTTTAGGTGTATGGTGCCGTGTCTACTCACTTCGAACAAGAAGAGTGGGTGCCATGGATGGGCTGAGCTTCAGACCTTTAGACATTGTGGGCCTGAAGCTAGGAGAGCTGTAACTACGTATGCTCGTAGAGGACTGAGGGGTCTAGGCTTGTTTCTGTGAGAAAGATTTCTGGTCAATCCCGGAAATAATTTCTCCCTTCCTGACTGGAAGCATAGCAGGCAGGTCCCAGAGTCGAGCTCAGGCCTGACAGACCATCCACAGCAGGAGGGCAGCCCACTCTGCGCCCGTACTCCCCTCCCCTTCGCCCTCCTCCAAATCAGCCTGGAGGCTCAGTCCTGCCTTAGCAGCTCTTGCTGAGCCCCTAGCACAGGCCTCACAGCCCTTAATCATTCCTGCACCCCCCAGTCATTCATTCACTCATTCCATTCATTCACTGAGCCACTTCCTCATTCAACCCATATCTCCGAGCGCCTCCTATGTGCCAGACTCCAAGGCTACAGAGAGAAGCAATACTCAGGAGCCCCGAAGCAAGGTCTCTCTCCTTCCAGCCTGCAGCTGCATTCTGGGGTAAAGACTGGGCCTCCCAGCCCAATGGAACAGCAGGAGACATTCTGAATGAGCACCCTCACTACCTTTCCCTTGACTCCACAGCGTCCTGGCTTTCTAGCCACATCTCGGACAATTATTATCAAACTTTACAGAGCGTCAGACTCACCTGGAAGCTCATTAAGATGCAGATGCCTAGGCTCCTACCCTGGTCTAGGGTGCAGCCCGGGAATCTGTATTTTTGATCAGTGCCAGGTGACTCTGACAGAAGTGTCTTCAGACCACACTTTGAGAGACTCCATAGGCGGGTCCCCTCTTCTGCCCATTGCCCTCCACACACCCCACCAGAAAGCAGAAAGCTGAAGGAAGTCACAAATCCTGGCTTCCCACAATCCCAATAGACACACACAGCTAGCTAGTTAGTGATCCTTTAAATCATCTGCTTCGGACTTGGGAGAATCGAATTCCCCAAAGCAGTGATCTTAACCCTTTCCTTTCAAATTCCTATCATGGAGAATTTCAAACACACCTGAAGAGAAACAGCAACTGGTCAGGTGTGATGGCTCATGCCTGTAATACCACCAGCGCTTTGGGAGGCTGAGGTGGGAAGATCACTTGAGCCCAAGAGTTTGAGACCAGCCTGGCCAACGTAGTGAGGCCTCATCTCTACTTTAAAAAAGGAAAAAAGAGAAACAGCTTATAACCACCATCCAGCACGATCACTCATAGCCAACCCATCTCATTCACACCTCCATCAATAGCCTGCCCCAACATTATTATATTCTTCTGACGATATTATTTTTGAAGCAAATATTTCAGTATGTTTTTCTAAAAGATAAGGCCTGGTATCACGTAACTGTCATCAGAATCTCTGCAAGTTGGCTGATAGATATAAACTCGAGGACCCAGAGGAGACTGAGGTTTTTCTCTGGTGAGACGACTCCCGTCATGGTGGTTTGCTCTTCTATCAGAAGGCATATAATGTCTGATCATCTCTTCTTATTCGTATGTGGTTGGCAGTCCATGCTCAGTGTCTGGATGCAGCAGCTCATCAGGTGGTTAAAATGGTGCTTCCTTCTTTATCCATTATCTGGAATACTCCTACAGAAGAAAATTTCCCTTATCAACTCAGTAGTATATAATTTGTCTAAGACAGGAGCAACACATGCAGATTCTTCTCCTTTATCCATCTTCAAAATAAGGAGCTGGTTCCCAAACATCTTCTGACAGTGAATAATTAAGGTTTTTGTTTTGTTTTGTTTTTGAGATAGGGTCTCCCTTTTTTTCCCAGGCTGGAGTGCAGTGATGTGTTCATGGCTCAATATTGCTTGACCTCCTGGGCTCAAGTGGTCTTCCCACCTCAGAGTCAGCTGCCTGAGTCCTGAGTAGCTGGGACTACGGGCATACACCACCACACCCAGCTAATTTTTGCATTTTTTGTAGAGATGGGTTTTGCCATGTTGCCCAGGCTGGTCTTGAACTCCCGGGCTCATGCAATCTGCCCACCTCGGCCTCCTAGAATGCTGGGGTTACAGGTGTGAGCACCGCTCCCAGCCTGTTTTCAGCACTATTATTATTAATATTACTATTATTTTGAGATGGAGTTTCACTCTTGTCGCCCAGGCTGGAGTACAGTGGTGTGATCTTGGCTCACTGCAACCTCTGCCTCCTCGGTTCAAGCGATTCTCCTGTCTCAGCCTCCTGAGTAGCCGGGATTACAGGCGTACTGGCTAATTTTTTGTATTTTTAGTAGGGACGGGGTTTCACCATGCTGGGCAGGCTGGTCTCAAACTCCTGACCTCAGGTGATCCGCCCGCCTCAGCCTCCCAAAGTGCTGGGATTACAGGCGTGAGCCACCTCGACTGGCCTTCAGTATTATTATGACCTAAGTGTTTGATGTATTTAATCCACAGGAGTTATTTTTATTTTTCATGCTCAAGTTGTCCCATTTTGATAAGCGGGAGCTTCTTCAAGTTGTATTCTGAGTCCATTTGACATGTGCTTTACAGTCTTCGAAGCCATGAACCCTTTCCTACGTTCTCCACATCCCAGGCCTGCCCCTCCTCACACTGCATCTCCCAGCTCCCTCCCTCTCACACTAAGACCCTGTGCTACACATCCTCAATTTACCATCCTCCTTATCTGTAAAATGGGACTAATGATAGAGTATTAGGATAACCCTACCTCAGCATTGTTAAGATTAAATGGATTTACGATCTCAAGCACTTGGAACAGTGGCTGGCACACATTAGGTGTTATATAGGTATTTGTCAAATAAATAAATAGCATTCCCTCCTGTCACTCACCTCCATGGTTCTCAGTCTTCCCACCTTTTCTTCCTTCCCTCTAGTCTCGGAGCAGGAGCACGACTTCCCTTTCCAGACTGTCTGACCATAGGTGCATCATTTACTCAGCTCAGGAAACAATCACTGTCCAAATCCACTGCAAATTTATTTCCTCAGGGACAATGGAAAGTCCTGGCCTGCATTCCACTGGCAGAGCCTGACAAGCTCTCCAAATGCACATTTCAATCTGGAGGCATAGCTTTCTAGCTTGGTAAGTTAACGCAGTGATAGCCAGGCTCCCAGTGTGAGAGCCCTGAGCATTGCCTTCAGTTCTCCTGACAGGTTAACCCTCAAGTGGCCACATTTCCTCCCCTCTCCAGGCTTCTGAAGTCCTGCTGATGTGTGCATGGACCAAACCCAGGCCAGGATAGGTATGGCCTTGGTGATGTGCTCTTTCCACTGGCCGATGGCTCCCTGCAGATGCTGAGAGGGCCACGAGCCTGGAATGTCAGGGATCCTTTGGGCCTTCCTATTTTGAGTCCAAAATGACCCAAACCAGTAGGCTTCAGTCAGATAAAGGAAAAAGTAGGCACCAAAGGAGTAAAGTCTGAAGACAGGTGGGAAGGAACTGGCTGCTTGCAGGATTTCTTAGCTTCAGGGCCTGCCTTGGCTCACGTCCAAGGGCCCCAGCTCTCCTACTCTGGAAAGATTGGCACATTGGGGAAGCGTCATTTAACTGCCATCAGGGCCTTCTTGTTTACCTGCATGGCCTAGGAAGAGGAAGCGGGGCATAGCAGGCTGGGGAGATACTTGGCAAATTTTAAGGATAGCTTATTCCCACCTCTTTTTGTAAAGCCCATTCCCTGCCTCAGCGTCCCCTGAGAACCCCCATCCTGCTTCTCTCTCATAAACAGCTGCAGAAGGGAGAGACAATCCCTTGGCTCTAAAATGAAATCCAGAGAAGTGAAGACAAGCCTCAAGAATGCCTACTCATCTGTCAAGAGGCCGTCATTGAAGGTGGAGGAGGAAGGCGACAAGGAGGACTACTGCACCCCCGGAGCTTTCGAGCTGGAGCGGCTCTTCTGGAAGGGCAGTCCCCAGTACACCCACGTCAGTGAGGTCTGGCCCAAGCTCTACATCGGTGATGAGTAAGTGCCCAGGCTCAGCCTCGCTCTGGCCTCGCCTGGGAGTGGGCAGCAGCCCCTCTTCAGGCCATACTCTGTGCCACCTTCTAGCCATGGGCTTTGGAATTTTTAGCTGTTCTGTGAGAATTCAATTCATGAGGGCTGGGCTTATCTTCACATTACAGAAAACCTAAAAAAAGGCTTAGGCAAGATAGAGATTTACTTCTCTCTGGCGATATAAGTGCAGAGGGAGGTGGGGTGGGGCTGGCCTGGCCACTGCAGGGTCATCAAGGACTCAGACTCCTGTGTTTCTGTGCCACTGTCCTAGGGGTGTGGCTTCTTCCCTCCAGGTTGCTGCAGGGTCCCAGATTGCCACCAGGGCTCCAGCCATCAACTCTAGGACCCAGACAGCAGGAGGGTAGAGGGAAAGAAAGAGCAGAAGGGCATCTTTCCAAAGCAAAGTCCCATCCCTAACTTCCCCTGCCCCTAGCTGCAAGGGAGGCTAGGAAATGTGGTCTTTCATTTTAGTTAGGTATAATATCCTCAAGAATAAAATTCATTCTTAGGTTGATGGTGCAGGAACACATCAATGTATGTCTGGAAGAATGGCAGCCTAAGTTGAGGTTGCTGTCACCTCCATTCGATTTTTATAATCACCATTACCCACTCTCTACATAGCTGAGATGAACCTACTGTAAATAATATTAATAATGATAATGACTATCCTTTCTTGAACACTGTATGCCAGGCACTGTGCTAAGCATCTTGCATGCATGATCTCATTTTACTCTCCTGATAACCCAATGAAAGAGTCTATCTAGTCACTCCCATTATAAATATAAGGAAGCTGAGGCATGGAGCAATTAAATAACTGGCCCAAGGTCCCAGAGCTCAGTTGGCCACTACAGGCATGCGCCACAACACCCAGCTAATTTTTTTTTTTTTTGAGATGGAGTGTCCCTCTGTCACCCAGGGTGGAGATTGGATTTTACTGTGTTGGCCTGGTTGGTCTCGAACTCCTGACCTCATGATCCACCCTCCTCGGCCTCCTAAAGTGCTGGGATTACAGGTGTGAGTCACCACACCCAGCCTTATATTTCTTTTAAATAATAAAAAAAAAGGAATCATAGGCTGGGTGGTATGACTCATACCTGTAATCCCAACACTTTGGGAGGCTGAGGCAGAAGGATCACTTGAAGGCAGGAATTGGAGATAGCCTAGGCAAAATAGTGAGATCTTGTCTATACAAAAAAAAAGAACACAAAAAATAAAAAAAACCAGCATGGTGGTACACACCTGTAGTCCCAGCTACTGGGGAGGCAGGAAGATTGCTGGAGCCCGGGAGAGTGATGCTGTAGTGAGCCAAGATTGTGTCACTGCACTTTAGTCTGAGGGATAGAGCAGCACTTTGTCTCAAAAAAAAAATGATATTATAGATACACGTTGTTGTATACTTTTACTAATGCATAGTTAGCTGTGCCACAATTTACCCAATAATTTCTCAGCTGTGAACATTAGGGGAAAGAAGGAGAGGGGTGTAAAGAAACTCTCTAAGGTTTTCTTCTTTGAATTCGGCTTTATCGAGAAATAATTCATAAAGTTCACCCTTTTAAAATATACAATTCAGAGGTTTTGTTATATGTACAGAGTTGCACAACCATCATCACTCTCTAATTTTGGAACATTTTTGTCACCTCAAAAGGAAACCCTGAACCCATTAAACAGTCACTCCCCATTCCCTACGTGCCCCTCGGGCCCTGGCAACCACCAATCTACTTTGTGTTTTGTTTTTTTTTTAAGTTCTAGATTTCAGAGGACTACTTTGTGTTTTTATAGATTTACTGATTTTCAGACATTCTGTATAAATGGAATATTATAATATGTTCCGGCTTTCTTTCACTTTGCATAATGTTTTCCAGGTTCATCCAAACTGTACTTGTATCAGTATTTTATTCCTTTTTATTGCCAATCTCCATATGATTTTCATACTTTTCTGTAAGTCTAAAATTAGTTCAAAATAAAAAAGATACACATATACTTTGACCCAAAATATCACATTAAGAAATGTAATTTACAGAAATAAGAGTAGCAATAATTAGAAAATATGTGCAACAGTGCTGATGTAACACTGTTTGAAGTAGCAATAAAGGGGGGGACTGACATCTCTAGTCTTTTAATAACAAAATATTAAATAAATGTAGTAAATATTTCTATAATGAAAGTAATAGGCTGGGTGTGGTGGCTCTCCCCTGTAATCCCATCACTTTGGGAGGCCAAGGTGGGAAGATTGCTTGAGCCCAGGAGTTTGAGACCAGCCTGAGCAATACAGCAAGACACCATCTCTACAAAAAAAAAATTTAAAAATTATCTGGGCTTAGGCCGGGTACAGTGGCACATGCCTGTAATCCCAGCAGTTTGGGAGGCTGAGGCGGGTGAATCATGAGGTCAAGAGATTGAGACCATCCTGGTCAACATGGTGAAACCCTGTATCTACTAAAAACACAAAAATTAGCTGGGCATGGTGGTGCATGCCTGTAGTCCCAGCTACTTGGGAGGCTGAGGCAGGAGAATCTCTTGAACCTGGGAGGTGGAGGTTGCAGTGAGCCAAGATCGTGCCAC